TAATAATAATAATAATAATAATAATAATAATAATAATAATAATAATAATTTGTATGTATTGTCATCATTGTATGATCCCGTACAATGGTGAAATTGGCTCTCTGCATTTGACCCATCTACAACCAGTGGGCAGCTGTGGAAAGCGACCGGGGAGCAACTGGGTGCTCAGAGACACCACGAGACGTGCAATGACCGGGAATCGAACACGGGACCTTCGGGTCCAGAGTCAGCTGCCCTGCCCCTACACCATCTAATTCTGAGCAGACTGACAAGCTAACAGATGGTTTGAGTGTAGTCAAGACCAACATGGGTTGTCGTCTTCAAAGCAACTTCAGTCTTAAAAAATGTCTTCACATTCATGTGCCTGTAAAACATTTACATTTAGGACCTTGCATTTTCAACTATTTTGTTATTTAAATTAGATTGGCAATTTGACATTGCAAAAAGCAACAGCTACCTGTAGCACTTCCATGCCATGCCATACCATACCATACCATACCATACCATACCATACCATACCATACCATACCATACCATACAATACCATTTTATTTCTAAAGCGCTTAGAATACAACATAGCAGCTGACCAAAGTGCTGTACACAGTGCAGCCCCAGTGCACTCTGGGGCACTTCCTGCAAGAATAGCTGTGTGTAATTGGAAACTAATGACAATATGAAGGTTCATAAAACTGCATTCACATAAACCTCTATAAAATTGACAAGACTGATGATGTTTTAGGATTATACCAATTCCTTTGTATTTTTGACTCCACTTGAATGAGCTATTAGCTCAGAATTATAATCTATTTCTTTAAACTGAGGTCATTTGAAGAGCTATCATCAACAAGGGAGATATTACTTAGTCACAACTTTTTACCCAATCCCATTTCAAAAGAGCTCAACTGTCCTTTCAACACACTGAGCATGTGGTTAATTTTTTTTAAAGACTTCTAAATGACACAAGGATAGCTCATATATTGTTGTGTATAGGACACTCTGAGCACTTATCTATGGAAGTGAAAGCTGGACATATTACTGTTGTCACATAAATAAATTGGACCAATGCCATCTATAATCTTTTCACAAATTCTGTGGAATTTCATAGATGGACAAGATACCCAGCTTTGTAGTTTTGGAGCACTGTAGAGTTGACGGCCTGGAAGCCTGCCTCATAAAAGGTAGGGCACTTGGTAAAGATGGATGACCCCCAAATCCTAATGGCTATGTTCTACACAGCAAGCTAACAGAAGGCTAACAAGGTGACCATTACAAAGACATGCTTAACGACTAACACCAACCTTTTTTTCACATTACATACCCAGCGAAATATGAAAGAGACATAACAAGTAAATACTTATGTACTTTGTGGCACACACTGAAAACTAATGCAAACTGATTTTAAAAATTCAATTTTTGTGCCGATTTCACAATTTCAGCTGTTGCACTCGCAACTTTGGAAACAGCCACTGCACTTCCATATATGGTGTGTGATGTCATGCCCTTCCCCTGCCAGACAAACAAGGAAGTCCCTCGCCTCTTTTCTGACTGACTGAAGTTATTTGTCAAGCACCAATAAAATCTATAGGAAGAAGATGGAAAAGACGTGGAAGTTGAAGGAAGTTTGGCGTCGGGAGCAGGAGTGAGCAATGAGATCTGAGAGATTTCTGACATTTAGTGTGCTTAGTTTTATAGTTAGGGTGTAGTGTACTCTGTTCAGTATTTAGTTTTGTCAGTTTTAGTGTGTCTGAGTCAAAACAATTAGCTGTTTTACGAATGTTAAGCTGCAGCCTCTGTTTGAGTTGGGAGATGGAGTCACAGGCCCAGAAACGGATGGAGCCACAGAGTCAGAACCTTCTCAGACAGCGGAGGCAGAGATGAAAAAGAAAAACAGAGTCTGGGACAAAGTGAGGACTTTGCCAATGAAGTGGGAGAGAAAGAATGTACCGAGCGCCACATTCCTGTCTGTGTCTGATCCCAGGCAAAACATCATCAGCCTTTGGTAATCATCAGCTGTGTGCTGGGGTGCTTTTTTGACTGGTTTGCTTGTTTTACATATTTAGTCTAAACTCTGGCTAAAATGTCTAATCCTATAAGTTTAGATTCCAAATGTATGTCAACACTTACACAAGAATATGCCAAGAAAATTGTCAAAATTATATAAATAGCACCAACTCAAGGATCAAACTCATAACGATTATGTTACAACGCAACTAACATTGTAGTTAGATATCTTGACAGCTAAAATGGTGCTCCCAGATTATAAATTCATGGGCAGTCTGCATGTGTGCCAGGTCATGATATGATTATAACTTAACCTGGTCACTGATGTTATACTGGAAGTCTCTTACAGGCAATGCTCATCTTGCATGTCCTGCTTTTTAAAAATCCTTTTAGTTGAAGCTACATCCTGTTAAACGTTTTCATCTACCAGTACAAACAAGAAGAATAACAAGAGCAAAAAAACACGTACTGTCTTCATATTTACCGTTGTCAGGAGTCTTGTGATTCTTGAGAATCACTTTGTTAGCTTGTCAGTTAACTTCTCTGTTAACTTGTCAGTCTGGTCAGTCGATCATCATTTTCTACACGTAGGCTCTCACACTGGTTCATTTTCATCTATAAATCCCTCCTTGGTCTGTTGCCTTCTTACACTGTGTCTCCTCCCACTTGTCACATCGTCAGTGCAGTTACAGCGTGCGCTCTCAGGACATCATTACCTGCAGCGTTCCCTCAGTGCAGACTGAACGTGGCAAAAAGGACTTTTCCTACTCAGCTCCTGCAACCTGGAACACCTTGCAACAGGAACTGAAGTTGTCCACTTTAATTTCTTTAGGGTATTTTAAACATTTCATAAAGTCAATAGAAACATCAAAGCAACTACAGTATGTTCTTGTTTTTTTATATTATTTCACCCTGCTTGATTTATTGTTTTATACACAACTGTTTTAATTGCATTTTTATTGCACTTGATTGTTGTCTGTCTAAAACAGGTGTCTCTTGTAAATGAGTCCTGGTGGCTCAATGAGACGAACCTGTATAAATAAAGGTTGAATTGAAACTGCGGTTGAAGTACAGCATGTTCTTCACTACTTCTTGTTTGGATATCGTGCCATGCTGTCTGTTTTCAACATCTAATTTCAAAAAGGATGGAATAATAAATAGGCCTATGTACTTTTGAGTTTAACATAATTGTATTATTCACCTTTTTCTATTCAATTTAGTTGTCAAAAAAGGCTAACCAGGGAGTGGTGGCACAGAGGTTAGAGAAGGTGGGCCTGTGATCAGAAGAGCTTTTATAAACTGCTAAAAAATGTCAGCTCCAATCAGTAAA